CTGTCAATATATTTCCAGGAAGTCATTACAGCTGACAAAAAAAGTCATTCTCACCCTTCCCCCCAGCCAATTCCCCTTCTTTTGTAATCTTTCATTGTTTTCTCTCTCAGTCTCCCTCCCCTCTCATTTTCTGCAAGTTATTAGCACTGACAAAACCCATCTCGGCATTTTTCTCAAAGTCATTAGAACTGACAAAACCTCTGCCTCTATTCCTTCTGTAAGTCATTAGGACTGACAGAATCTCTCTATCGAATCGTTTCATGACACAAACTTCAGTGGCTCTTTTGTCCAGCCTACCGTTCAGAGGCCCAGAGCTCTGCAGGCCTAGATTGTCTCTGAGGTAACAAAGCTTAAAAGCCTGGATGTGAAAGCCTTCAGCTGGAGCCCCGACTGTCAGAGGTAACCATTTAACACCAGCAGGGGAGTCACCAATGTGTCACCCAGAGCTTTTTCTACTCAGTGCTTTGAGCTGCTGTGTGCACCAGAGCCGTGATCTAAGAAATGCACTGTTGTCTTTTACACACTGTTAGTATAAAACTCTGTACCATCAGACTTTTATCCCGTTATAAGCTAACAACTGCTAAATCAGGATCTTGGTTGCAGATGCCTTTGAGTCAACAACTTGAGTTCGTCTATCTTTTTCAGCCGAGTAAGCAGCAAGTCTCTGTAAAACAATGTCACTGCTGGCCAGTTTGTTCCAGGCAAAAATACCTCATCCACTTCTTATTGGATAATATAGAGACTTTATACAGATATTAATGTGCGTGGGCACATCCTGGTTGCCAGAGGATGTGCCCACGCAGCTCTACCAATCTGCAGATAGTTCATGTGGAGCCACAAGACATGACTTCAGGATATGTGTGAAATGTCTTTTTTTTTTTTTTAACTTTATAATGACATGGCATCTTACCAAAGATAAGACCAATAACTGAAACTAATACCACTGACTAACAATAGCCATGTGCTACGTTTCACGATTATTAATATGCAAACTAGGGCTGTGCGATATGACCAAAATCTCATATCCCAATATAAGACATTTATCATCCTGACAACGATATATATCACAAAAATTTTACACTTTCTGTAAATTCTGGGAATATAGGGAAACTCGAGTTGCGTGAAATGTTTTCAGCTTGGCGTTGTGTACCTGGAGTCCAGTTCTTTGACCAATGCATGAAACTGAATATTTTTAGATATAAGTTTGTAAGTTTGTGCCATTTTCTTTGTCAGTATTTATTACACGGTGTGCTGCGGGGAAAAGCATGAGTCTAAGGTTTATTTTGAGCACCTGATGTCTCTTTTTTTGCTTCTCATCCATAAACTCTCTCCATACTCTTTTACGTGACTCTTGCGTAGGTGGTAGAAGAGGTTTGCGGTGTTTGAGTCTGAGGTGGGGATGGTTTCTTGCATAATTTTAGTCCATGTCAGACTTTTCATAACCAAACCATCAAGACGATGAAAAAATATTGCAGTAAACAATTTATTTTGCGACACCACGAAACAAACGATAGGGTAATATGAAACGATTGACGTTTTCATATCGTCATCCGATATATATCGCTATATCGAACAGCCCTAACGTAAACTGTCATGACCAGTGAATAGTGGTTATGAGTACTATTCATAGAGAGTTAGAGGTTGCCTGCAATCACAGCATTATATGGTGGTTACAATTTGCATTCTTTTACCCATTATATTACATATATTAAAATTTTTGGCGTTGTGTATTTTGGGGTTTGAAAGCCACAGAAATGTTCAGTGTTTTAAAAAAGCGCATCTCAGCTTTTCTGTCACATATGGGGTCACCAAATCGTTTTGCTTATGCAATGATTCTCTTTCTTCAATCCTTTATCACCTTGACCGTTCTTTAGGCGAGGAGATATTTTTCACCATCTTACAATACTGTGATTACATCGTTTCCCCACCTGAACTAAGCATTTATGGCTCTTGTAACTTTGCAAATGAAGATTTTTTAAACATATATATGCAAATAAAGAATTAAAATGTATACTTTAATAGTTATCCAGTTAATCCATTTTCAAAGAAATAATCAGAAAGGGGTTCATCTCTCATGCTTCTCTTTTTAAAATTCTCCTTTTGTTTAAATAACAATAAGTAAAATATTCTAGGAAAAACATTGGGATCTGCGTAATTGCGTCAAGGATTTCCACCTTGTTTTTCTTGCTACTATCACCCAAACCCCAAATCCTACGTCTAGTTAGGTGCAGGATTGTGTCTGTGTCTATAGAGCTTGTAACTATAAAGCCAACGTTGGGTGTCTTTCAGCAGGAGGAGCTGAATGAGAGCTTATGGTTGTGTGAGAGATAGGAGATAATACATATTATAATATTAGCATTGCTTGAGAGATGTTTTTTTCACTTTATGATTGAAGGTTTCTCTAATTAGAACAATTAATTAGTTGATTTTTATTGTTTTCTCATAGTGTCTGTATAGCTGTTGATTTTCTTATTTTCCTATGTGAACATTGATTAAATTGCTATTGATTCTCCCTAGCTGCTTCTACCCTATTACAGTCAACACAATTCATTTATATGAGCACTGATAAAAAAATGACCAGGCTTAGTTAGGACCAGGTTTAAGTGCTGTTGGCAGCCTTCGTAGACATTTACTATTACCGTATTTTCCGCACTATAAGGTGCACTTAAAATCCTTTAATTTTCTCCCCCCAAAAAAATCGACAGTGCACCTTATAATCTGGTGCGCCTTATCTATGAATTCTGGCTGTGTTTACTGACCTCGAACCGATTTTATGTGGTACACTGCGCTAAAAAATCTGTCAAAAAATGTTTCAGTAGTACTTTGCTAAGCTACGAAGCCGTACCGCTTAATGGATTGTCTGAGTGTTTTGGCTACCGTAGTCATGAGCCTCGCAGCTCAGAGTAATCTGGGTCCAAAACTCCGTCCGCATCATGTCCCAAACGAACACTGTGTATATTCTTTCATCTTTAATAAAATGATCAGTGTTTCTGCTTTACTAGGTGTAACAATTAAGTTTAACATCCAGGCATCCATGAAAACAGAATTTATAAAATTTAACGGAATTAGAAGTTAGCAGGAAGTTAGCAGGAAGTTAGCTTGCTGGTTTCACTAGTTACCTAAGCATGATATATCATGTTCTGACTAAGAGACTGCTGGAAAAAAATAAAACGTACAGCTCTGCTATCACTTCCAACATGAATGAAGACAGAAAACTACACAATAGTGACGTTTGTAGGGTTACTGAAGTTAGGTTAGGCTAGATGATATATAATGCTGTTGTCACGGTCCTGGGTCTCCTGACCCAGCGTTTTTAGTTCCTTGTGATGT